ACACTTGTTTGTTAAAACTTCAGTAGTTGAGAATCTTGAGTTATCATCTAAAAAGGTTACAAAATACCGTTTCCCACCAAAGCTTTGTGGTGTAATTTTTCCACATACATCTGAATGTATCACCTCCAAAACATTCTCTGCACTTTTGGAATTCTTACAAAATTTCTTTCTGTGTAACTTTCCTGTGATGCATACATCACAATTTAATTGACACTCATCTACACCACAAAACTTTGGTAGGGTTTTCATATGTCCAAATCTCTGATGCCATATGGCTTCACACTTCAGGGCCTTGGCCTTCATAAGATTCATTCTCTTTTCTATTTCCACCTTACTACTTATACTACACATCAAACTCTTGCCTGACACTGTATAATATTCACACTGAAGATGGTATAATTGATCTCCCTTTCCCCTGGCTACAAAAATGACAACTCCATCCTTTGAGACTGTTATTATCCCATTCTTTATATGTGCTTCACAACCCAACCTATCTAATTGTCTCATTGACAACAAGTTACAATCCAAACCAGGTACATATGAACAATTATTTAATCTTAACTTCTTGCCTCCATATTCATTTGTTACCTTTAAGGCTACACTCCCTTTACCCAGCAAAGGAGTACTCGTCTTCCTTTTCGCCAACATGACGTTTCCTCTTACACCCTCATTTAAGTTGTCGAATATATCCTTGTAGGGAGTCATGTGGTGGGATGCTCCCGAATCAAGAATCCACAGATCCCTGAACTCCTCGGACCTACTTCCTGCATGGGCTGTCATGACAAATTCCTCTGTTGTTTCAATGTGTTCCTCCGCTACTACAGCTATTTCTTCTTCTTCTTCATTCTCCTTTTGAACTTCTGCTATTTTGGCGGTTCCCCCATTATTCTTTAGGACATTAAACTTTGGACACAATTTAGCAATATGTCCAGCTTGATTGCATGCAAAACAAATTACATTCTTCTTTACATTTTGGTCACAATTGATCCCTTTACTTTGGTTTTTGAATTTTCCATCACGTTTTGGGTAATAATTATTATTCTTCTGGTACCTAGATTCTCTTCTAAGTAAAAGGGCTTTTTCTTCTTTGTTGTTCTCAAAATCTCTGTGAATTTTATCTTGTTTTTCTGTCAGGTATAATTTGCTAATTACCTCTTCTAAGGATGTTTTGTCCTCTTTACTTGAAAAGGATAACATGAGATTTTCATATTGTTTGGGTAACCCGCTGAAAATAAAACCAATATGTGCTCCTTCACTAAACGGTACATTAGCATTCTTCAACTTCAAAATTAAATTTTGTTTCCTCGTTAGGTACTCATTCATGCTTATTTCGTCAGTCTTTTTGGTCAAAGCTAATTCTTCAATCATCAAGGCAATATGGACCCATGTGTACTCACAGTTTCGCCTTTTCAGCTTCTGCCAAACTTCTGCAGCTGTAGTCAGATGTGCTATCGACGGTACATATTTATCTTCTATATTCTCGGTAATAAAGTTAAGTGCTTCAAGATTTGTTTGAATCTGACCTGGTGTCCAATCCTCTTCTACTCCATCATATCCGGGCTCCACGGCTTCCCATTGCTTCCTCTTTCTTAGGGTTAGCGTTACGCGATGTTTCCAGATTGTGTAGTTATCGTCATTTAAAGGTTCTATGCGTCTTCGGTAAACTTCTTCTGACATGTAAGTTTTGAGGTTTTCACGGCGATGATAATGAAGAAAGTCGTCTTCTGGGTTTAGGCACCGTGTATTCTTCGTTTTGGCCGACGTTTCGGAGGAACGTAGCGCCTCCATCTTCAGAGCAGTTGAATGGCTTGGAATGCGGAGAGCAGTAGCTGTGGTGATAGGATGTGAAAGGTGCTGCTTATATACGAAGTAGGCAGGGGGGGTGGTTAGGGAGAACGGACCAATGGGAGTAGTAGGGAGCGATTAAGACCAAATATGGTGTTGTGTTGATTAAGGGAGGGGGGGTTGAGAAACGGCCAGAGAATCCAGGAACCTTGAGGTCAATAGCACTAGGAAGTGCTGTAGACAAGAAGAACCGGTAGGTTGGGGACAGGCTATTGACGTCAATGACATGACGAACTGGTGTGGCTAGTTGGATTCTCTTGAGGGAAGAGATGCTACCATATCTGTCGAGATTGTTGAGAGCGATAAAAGCCATATGATGTAGTGTGCTAAGTTGGGGGGAGGGGAAACGGCCAGTGAATCCAGGAAACTTGAGGTCAATAGCACTAGGAAGTGCGGTAGACAAGAAGAACCAGTTGGTTGGGGCTACTGACGTCAATGACATCACGAAGAACTGGGGTGGCTTTTAGGATTTCTTTTGATGGAAGAGATGAGTGGCTTCCATGACTTGTTGAGACTGAACCCTGTTTCCTTGTTCATGTTGTTAGGATGGAGCTCGATCTCAACGGCCTCCAGGATTATGCGATCTAGGTAACGGCTCTTACTGGTGATTATGGCGGTTTTGTGAAACTGGATATGGTGGTCTAGATCGATGCTGTGTTCAGCATCGATCTAGTGTTTAGCACACTACATCATATGGCTTTTATCGCTCTCAACAATCTCGACAGATATGGTAGCATCTCTTCCCTCAAGAGAATCCAACTAGCCACACCAGTTCGTCATGTCATTGACGTCAATAGCCTGTCCCCAACCTACCGGTTCTTCTTGTCTACAGCACTTCCTAGTGCTATTGACCTCAAGGTTCCTGGATTCTCTGGCCGTTTCTCAACCCCCCCCTCCCTTAATCAACACAACACCATATTTGGTCTTATCGCTCCTCACTGCTCCCATTGGTCCGTTCTCCCTAACCACCCCCCCTGCCTACTTCGTATATAAGCAGCACCTTTCACATCCTATCACCACAGCTACTGCTCTCCGCATTCCAAGCCATTCAACTGCTCTGAAGATGGAGGCGCTACGTTCCTCCGAAACGTCGGCCAAAACGAAGAATACACGGTGCCTAAACCCAGAAGACGACTTTCTTCTTCTGACATCTTGAAATATTATATCGTCTTATTTACTTCCTTTCTTCAAAATCCCATGCAGCACGTGGGACCGAGAAATGGCCGTCTTTGCCGTTTAGGTCCGTACCTTCACTTATCCTATTGTCTTCACTCGTCTTCTGAGTCTCCAACCCGTTTTATGGATGTCCGGCGCAGTGCTTGAAGACTCTGGGCCCATAACCTGTTATTTCCTTTGTTAAATCACATTGGATCATCGAGGTAAAAACGGATAAGAAATGAAACGCAATCGACCAAATCTAACGTTTACTGGAGACTAACTTCATTCACAAACATTACAAGATACCAAAGGTACATTAACAAAAGAAGTAACAGTGGGTGTGGTACCAACTTATGAACAATATATATCACATGATAAATATGGCCAACACTACAACTGTAGTACTACAACACTGAATAGGGACGATCATATTTGGAAAGTTAGAAGAAGGAAACAAAGAACTGATGTTGGCAAATATTCTTTTTTGTAAATAGGACCATGAAGGATTGGAAGAGATTACCTGCAGGCATACTAGCGTCTTTCCCCTGTAAACTGAACGCTTTTAGAAAGAGGGTTAGGAAAGCTGTTGCAAGTAAAAAATCATTACAGCTGCTACACCAATGTGCTTAGTTTATAGTCTTCTGAGATATAGTTTGTATCTTGATATCGTTTATCCTGTCAGCACATACCTTTTAATACTGGAAATTATTCAGTCTCAGTCATCCTAGTCTTCATTTCACTTATGATCCAAGTATCTCTTCCTATAAATCTCACCTGAAACTGTATCAAGCTGCTTTCATCCAGGCCTCACTCTTGTACATTCCTGTGTTACATTCAGCAAGCCCTGTATTCTTCAGATCTGTCGATTTCTTTGTTATAGGTATAGCTTGGATGCATTCGGATATTTCTGAAGATAGATCCTTTCCATCATATGTCCTGAATAATTGAAAACACCGCTTGCTTATGTGTGTTACTAATTCAGATTTTGCTACTGATTAATCCTTTACTTTCGTATACCCACAATTATGGTTTTTCTGTTGATATGTGATTATAGATGTATAAAGTAGTATTCTACTGACTGGATGATTTAAATCATCAGTTCTTGTAAGTATTACGTTGCTGTGTAGGCACGTTTGCAACCCCAGCCTGTTAATTTTACACAGACCATCCAGCTGCTTGTGCGCATGATATTCTGAAAGAAATGGAAAGATGTAACGGAAATAAGAGAGATTGTTATGAAAAATTGTGAAACAGAGATGACTGTTTTACATAATGATCCACATGCATTTTTGCACATATGTGGTCTATTCAAAATGTTCTAGATCTTTTGAAATAGCGCATCAACTCAACAAATTAGCAATATCGGGTAGGTTGTGTTGCCTAGAGGTGTGCATTCTAATTATCGTCCCCTTTGCTGCATCCTCCTCCTGTGATCATTCATCGCCCTAGAGCTATTTGTTCATGTGCTTGCGATATTTGGGATGGCTAATATTCATGAGTGTGAAAATCATGTTGACAGTTTCTTTTTGACACCGAGGGTGTTGTACATCATAAATTATTATGTCAGGGGCAAACAGTGAACTGCTGATATTATCTAAACGTGCTGAAACTTCTAAGATAAAATGCCAGGAGAAAAACCTCAGTTGTGGAGAAATAACTCCTGGTTCCTCCATCATGACAATGCGCCAGCTCATGCATTGTTACCGATACGTGATTTCAGTTAGGGAAATAAGAAAAAGTCTGCCAGATCCAGGTCAGGTGAGTAAGGTAGCTGAGGAAGCACAGATATGTTCATGTTGGCCAAAAAGTCATGAATCAAAGGAGGTGCATGAGCTGCATGAATCAACCCCAGGAACATAGTGTGTTTGGAAGGATTACGTCAATTGAAGAAAACAGTTACCTCATTAGGAACTGAACCTTCAAGTAGCATAGTGCCTTAACCAACTATGCTGCCACATGCCCCCACATTAGTTTATGTGTATAATGTATGATTTCAGGCTTCATGGGTCATATGAGGCACTGAAAGGGGGCACAACATGTGAAGCAATGGAGGATTTCACAGGGGGAGTGACAGAGATGTATGAGTTGAACCAAGCACCTCCAAACCTGTACAGGATCATGTTGAAGGCATATGAGCGCTCATCACTGATGGGCTGTTCAATTGAGGTATAGAACAGTATGTTTATTATGTAGCAGATAGATCACATTACACTATCTTCCTCCATAGTTCAGCATTTGGCAGTTACTTATATGAGCAAGAAGTTTTCTGCCTTTGTGGAACCTGAAGGTTCATCACCCTTCAGAAATATCATCCATTGAAATTTATTATGACTTGGCTCACTGTATTGTATTGTACAGTAGTCATTGCCTTCACAACCTGTTTCTCAAAGATTTAATTTTATAAGTATCATCCTCCCACCTATGTCTAGGTGACCTAAATGGTATCCTCACTGTAAAAGGTAAGAAGAAAAAAGGTAATGCCCCTGTGCTTAACTAATTAAGTACAATGCCATGAAGACATGGGGTAGGTGATGTATAGCTCCACATATTCTTATCCTCAACACTAGTTGGAGGGTAATGGTCAGCTTCACACCAAGGTGGTTTACCTTTGGGGAAGAGCCCCAATACCCATTGAATAGGAGGCTGGATGGGCCCCAGAGCTGGTCTGTATGACATGGAGAGGAGAAAAATCTTGCTCCTATCAGGACTAAAACTCCGACCCCTGGGCCATCCAACCTTGTAGCCAGTTGCTGTACGAGCTGCACCATCCCACGTCACAGTGTCATAATTCTGACCAAAATTTGATATGCATTTGTCATTTCCTCATGTGTGCCACATATCTTTCCCATTTAATCCTCCTTGATTTAATTCTCCTAACAACATTATGTGAAGAGTATATATTATGAAGTTCAAGGAGTTTTATTATTTCCTCTATACCACACCTTAACATGAACATATCAGAATATGTTTTGGACAAACTTTGTGGCTGCTATGGAGATTAATATTTATGTAATGTTTACTGACATCCCTTTTGTCAATGAATGAATTCTGACTATTCTACGCATTAATTTGTAGCCTGATCCAAATGTTGTGGAAGCGCAGACACCAGAGGGCCTCATCAAGGGACATGCCTACAGTGTAACAAAGGTGAAGTATGTTGACATCCAGACACCACGCAGCTCAGGGAAAATCCCTCTCATCAGAATACGTAACCCATGGGGTAATGAGGCTGAGTGGAATGGACCATGGAGTGACAAGTGAGTGAATGTCCCATTTCTGAAAAAGATTTGCTACAACTTTCTTATGCTGTCATCATATGCATATGTGCCTGTACCCAACCAATTGGTCTCTGACCATAGAAAGATATTATCAACGCTAGTGTTGTTGACTGTATGGTCCTGAAGTTTGTGTGCTGAGAGATCTTGCACATTTTGTGTTTGCCTCTGTTTGAAGTGTACCTACCTCTGTATGATGAATGTTTTTAAAACTTTAAAAGTTATTACAGTGTTAAAAAAATGGTCATTATTTCTCATCTAATCCTGTGATGACCTGTCCATGTCGTGTGAAGCAGTATCACCATGTGTCTTTAAGAGTACTTTTTCATTTTAAATAACATGCTTAACAAATATCTTATTTCTTATGGGTGACTGGTAGAATTCCATAAGTAATTAGATATGTCTGTCAGTAGGTGACACTATATGCAGTTTGTTGTATGCCATTTGTGAGCGTTACAGGTTGAAAGTTCCCAAGCATAGAGACATGTGATTTGTACTAGGCAAGGATACGTATTTTGGGTACAGGAACATTGGAATTGTAAGAAGTGTATTTACCTACCCTCTTGCTCAGGTCCCCTGAGTGGAGATTCATTCCAGATGAGGAGAAGGAAGAGATTGGCCTCACTTTTGATGAGGATGGTGAGTTCTGGATGTCATACAAGGATTTTCAGAAACATTTCTCACGACTTGAGATATGCAACCTGAATCCAGATTCACTGACTGAGGAGGAACTGCTCAGATCACACAAGAGAAAGTGGGAGATGAGCATGTTTGAGTGTGAATGGGTCCGAGGTGTCACTGCTGGAGGTTGCAGGAACTACCTTGGTGAGCATTTATTTGGATGTGTTTTCACTAGACTTGTTTCCATTTGCACTATGGTATAAATGACCACCCTTTTCTGATTCCAAGAGACTAGCATTCATTGAGACCATTATTATATGATTTTAAAAATAATATTTATAATTTCCTTCAACAAATTTATGTAATATGAGGGTTGGAACTTTAATAGTGGCAACACTGCTGTAGAGAGGTCATGCAAAAGAACCAAATAATGTTGCTTATACCATGCGTTAGTTATATACCTACCTTACCTCAGAGCAAATGGACTCACCCTTCCCACATCATGCGCATGCGCAGTGACAAGAAGAACAGAGCCTCATGTTAGCTGGCAGTTGAATGTAGTGTTGTCATGATGTTTTTGAAACATGATCAACGGAGTTGGATAAAGGTTGAATGTGTCAGAGGCCGTACAGCATGACAGTGTCATCAAGGTCTTCAAGAGGCTGGGGGGGGGGAATCTGCATTGCCTTACAGAACACTGGCAAGGTGGGTAAAAGCCTTCAATGAGGAACGCCAAAATGTGGCAGACATGCGTCGTCCAGGTCATCCTAGTGTTAGTGAAGAAGTGAAGAAGAAGTGTATGCTCTTTCCATGTCACTGGAGAGTGATGACGCCATATGATTCGTGAACTGGCCCGAGTGACAGGATTAGTGCGTACGACTGCATCACATTCTGAAGGAACGCCTGGGCATGAGAAAAATTGCATTACGATCGGTTCTGCATGATTTGACAGAAATGCAGAAATGGCTACGATACGACGCTGCTTGTAACCATTTGGAGCGCTATGAGCGCGAAGGAGAGGCTTTCTTATGGCATATCATTACGCTGGATGAGAAATGGGCCAAATCGTATGAGTCACAAATGAAACGCCAGTCGAACAAATGGAGTCATTATGAGTCACCACGAAAATCAAAAGTTTGTCAGAACCCCAGAAATGTGAAAGTTATGGTGATTTTCGTGTATGACTGTGATGGTGTTATCCTAATGCATACCGTTCCCCGACAGCAGACCGTTAGTGCATAGTATTACTGTTCATTTTTGGAACACAACCTGCGAACAGCTTTGAGAAAGAAGCAGCGACACTTTCTGCTAACACACCCATTATTTAGCAGGACACTGCTCATCAATTTGCAGTGCAAGCTGTGGCTGATTTGTTTGATTGATGGGGCTGGGAAGTGCTGTACCATCCACCATACTCCCTAAACTTAAGCCCTTGTGACTTCGACTTGATTCCTAAGATGAAGGAACCACTTTGTGGCATTCACTTCAGAACTGTTCCAGAGATTTTTCAGGCAGTAGACCGCTCCATTCGAACTGTCAACACAACAGGTGCTGCTAAAGGTATCCTACGACTTCCACTTCGCTGGCAATGGATTGTACACAATGCTGGTGACTACATTGAAGGACAGTAAAACTTCGAAACATGCATCTATTTTGTACTGTTGTAAAGAAATAGTTGCCACTATTAAAGTTCCAACCCTCGTTTTACTAGGTCACACCATTTCTTCATTCTAACATTCACCTGTATATATCCTGTACTAAATATAAATTTTCTCCTGCAAGATACTACTTAAATTACTGAAAAGAGCTCAGATTGTCAGTTGTATACATAATGGATTCACATGTGTTTCTACAGCATGATTGCTCTGCATTTGCCTATATTTTGGATCAGAATTATAGGTCAGATCACATCTACACTCAACTCTCGATTATCCGGGGGTGGATAAACTCGTTTGCGGCTTAACCGGGGCTATTTTGAGGCCTATATGTTGTTTAATATTCATTCACTTTTGTTTCACTTGGTGAGTTGTAACACTATTTTCGCACTAGTGTGAACCGAGCTCTGCATTTTTTGGTTCCGTTATGCTAAAACAATGTTCTAGGGTAGGGGTGAAAGAATGCAAGTATTTGTGGAAAGTTCCAAGGACAGATACACCACCCCAGTTAGTCTCTTTGTATCGATCTTCAAGTGCGTTAGCAAAATGTCAGGGTGTGAAAGGAAGCGTGTTGTGTTAAGTATTCAACAGAAACTCGTGTGAGCTGGGCTTTGAAATGTTAAGCAGTGATGAAATCGTAAGTTCAGTGGGGGTGCAGCCAGAAGAGCGGGAAGATAGTGCGAATGAGGAAAAGGTGGACAGTGCTGCCAGTAAGAATATATCAAATGGTGCTGCTCTTAATCATTTGGAATCCTTACTAGACTATCTTGAGAGTGAAGAGAACAGTTTATTAAGTGACAAGCTAATATTACATAGGCTTCGTATGGATATCCGTAAAAAGGAAAATGGCGCGAAAAAGCAAACAACAATATTAAATTTTAAGTGTTAAGTGTGAATATTCGTAAAAAGTGTTGGATGTTGTTGAACACTGTGATTGAAATAACTAATTCATACTTCAGTGTAACGTAAAAAAAGTATTAAATAGGCCATGAGATGACATAAAAATGAGGTTGAATAAATTTAAATACAGGTAGGCCTATAGTATTATGAAGGTACAGTATTACAGTACTACTTTTAATAAAATTTGTCTTAACCGGGTTTTCGACTAATCGTGATTTCCATCCCCACCATTATCCCAGATAATCGAGAGTTGAGTGTAGTTATAAGATTGATAGCTTACCTCTTTCTTGATACTCTCTGATTTTCACTGCATTTCACTTCCCCCTGAGGGAAAATGTGGCAAATTAACAAGTGTGGTTGTTGGCGAATGTGTTGTTATTATAGTCAAATATGATCGCACTTTAATATGGAATTTCCTGTGAGATTGGAAAAAAAATTGTATGCCATAAAACTGTGGAATTAAATGCAAATATAACAAGGCAAGGAGCAGTTAACAAAACTGAAGCATAAATCTGTTGCTGGCTAATGACTGATGCTACAAGACAAGACACATACCAATGTGTGGAGGAAAGGACAATTTTTCAGATGACCTATACATGTGATCATTTGAATGTAATTTGAGGAAGTATTGTGGGTTTTTCTGTGTAGTTGCATTTCTAGTCCTTTGGCCCTGGCATTTCTGGCAGGTGGGACTGTTTCAAAGTAAGTCCATCGGGCTGATGTGTGGAACACTGTAGTGAGGATTCAGATTCCCAGAATACATCCATGGTATCATGGCATCTCTCATCCATCAACTGGAGTGCATGGAACTTATTTTTCTCCACATCAGATTTGAAAGTTTGTACTACATTAGTTGACTGATAAATATGTGTAGTTGAGTCTATCAGAAAGTGACATTTCAGACAGCATAGAAAACTCGAAAGTTGTCATTACAATTTACCAGACTGATGATACAGATATTTAAAAGAGAAAACAACGTTGCTGTACTTTCTTGAATATAAAAGCAGCTAGGAGATCAGGTTTTTTTTTAAATAATGAAAGAGTGCTGTACAAAATATAACATTCCCTCAAATACTTGCAGACATGATGTGGGTTGAGCAGTGAAAATCTCAAAGAAATCTGCCAGATAGATTGCATTGTTTTTCTTTTGTTATAGAAACATTTTGGCACAACCCACAGTATCGCATCACACTGGAGGACCCTGATGAAGAGGATGATGACAACAAATGCACTGTCATTGTGGCGCTGATGCAAAAGAACCACAGGTCACAGCGCAAGATGGGCATTGAATGCCTTACCATTGGGTTTGCCATGTACCATGTAAGAACATTTTGTGTTCTAAGCAAGTAACTATCTCTGTAGCTGAGGGTCTCATTTGAGCAGTAGATATTTATTCAGCTGGTCAAGAAATTGCCTGTTTCTTAGAATCTGAAGATTATCTTCCACAAATCTTGGACAACTGATTTTATGCCAGGCCCAGTCCATATAAATTTTACTCTAGCTAGTTCTTCTGTAATAACTTTTTTTTTGGGGGGGGGGGGATTACAAATGGGAATAATGTTTGAAGTCTGACAGTTCGGTAACTGGACAGTTTTGTGTGGCAACTGACAACCTTGATGAACTGGTGTGTATTATATTGTGTTTGTATCAGATAGTTGTTCCGTTTCAGTTTGTTTTAGGCATGTATGCCTCAAATTTTTTAGATTGAATCGAGAAAAAGATCTGGATCTCAATTTGAACATTGATTTTTCTTTCTTGAATTCAAGAATTTTCTGATCGCTGGTTTTGCTTAGATGAGAGGGCGATGCTGAAAGAGATCATTATTGTAATTTTCCAAATGGAAGATAAGTATTTTATCCCCTTTGGGGTAGAAATCAACAGGTTGTCATCATGAATCTGAATTTTATGTGTGCGCACGTGCATGTGTGTGTAGGTGGTATTTGAATCTCTTAGTGTAGCCATTAACAACATTTCAAAACCTCTAATGACAGCTTGCGGACTTCAGGACAAAAGAAGTATGATTGTCAAAATCAGTGGTTAGAATCATCTTTATATACTGTTTTGTATCAAAGGAAAGTTCTTTAAAACAATCAACCAAGGTTTCTGTCTTCAAGTTTCAGAATATTTATAATATTACAGTCATTGAAAAAAAGACCATGTATTTGAATGGACAAGTGGGTTTTGCTTCATTCAGCATGCTTTGCCACTTGACTTGGGGGGGGGGGAGACGGACAGTCAGAAGTCTGATAGCAAGTACTGTGAAGATGACCACGTTCATTGAAGGTTAATAACAATGCATTGTTTTTATAGAATCAGTCAGTTTTTTGTCAGACCTCATATTCCAAGCTCATTGAAACTTACGTGTCACCAGGAATCCAGCAAATTATGTTATTGAATATGTTAATCATTCCTATTCCATTAAAGTAATGTTTGTAACACACCAGCAATGATCATGTTTCTCTAGTTAATATACCAAATAATAGACTTTTCAGATATAACTAACCACACTGACTCTTTGACTGGCACGAAGGATATTTAAATCCCACCCCTGTCCTGGCAGGCCCTTTAAGCTTTAAGTCGCTAAAATGCATGTGTTTACTTTTTTCTAAATAACTTCAACAAAAATTGGTTTTTAAAAACGAAATGTTCAGGAACTAATAAGAAGACAATATTTTATGCAAGAAATGTCTTTCCATACCTTTTTATTAGCTTTTCTTCGTGTGATAAACATTGAAACATTAAAGTTTGCGGAGAGCCACACCACAGCTTGCACACATGACACTTGTTTCTTTTCTAATCTTGTGCTTAGCACACACGCGACGCCTTCTCATGGCACCATTCTTCTTATTGTTACTGGGAGGAACATGGACCATTTTGTGTGTTTTCAGGCAACCCTCTAGACGATTTGCTGGGTCTTTCACTGGTGGTCTTTTCAAGGTCGTGGGCGGAGGCGTGACTGCACTCTAATCTGATGCAATAGATTCGTCATCCACTTCATTTCTTGATTCTCCCTCTCCACACTCTTTCTTTGGTTCTGTCATTTTTTCTACACCATCCAATATAAAATCTTTGAATTTGTAATTTCTCTTCTTGTATTTTTCGTTTGTTGTGTTTTTTTGAATAGAATGAAACTATTCAACGCTGCCATTTGCAACAAGAAAAACACCAGTTTCTTTGTCCACTTTACAGTTTTGCAGGAACAAGGATAATAATGCAGCATTTGATCAGCCCTGTCGGCCCCTCTCATATGTTTATTATAGTCCCCAATTACCTCAGTTTTGCATATTTTTTCTCCCTTGCGATTCGTTTTTGCAGATTCCACGATTTTTGCTGTGTGAAGAGTGGAGATAAGTTTGACGTCTCTTTTATCTCTCCACACCTGTATGAGACCTGCCCCTTCCTAGAAAACACAGATTCCCCCTTTTTTTCAAAATTTTTACGTCATCCTTTAGTTCTTTAGGAGCTCCTCTGTCCATTCTGAAGGTTCCACACGCATAGGTATTTCTCTGATAACGTCTCACACAATTCTACACTATTGTAATAGTTATACTCGTAGAAATTATACCCTTTATCTAGAAGCTGGGGCCCAAACAGATCGACAACTAATTCCTTTATAGCTCTTGATTTTCCGCAGTAAATTTCAAAATTCCAATATATTCACTTGTTGAAGAAAGCAGTCTTCTGGGATTTTGCACCGTGTGTGATGTTAACCGACGTTTCGGAGGAACGTATCGCCTCCATCTTCAGGGTAGAAGGAAAAATATAAGAAATCTGCAAGCGAAGAGGCCGAGAGAACCGGTAAAAGCAGACTGGGTTTTACCGGTTCTCACGGTCTCTTCGCTTGCGGATTTCTCATATTTTTCCTTCTACCCTGAAGATGGAGGCGATACGTTCCTCCGAAACGTCGGTTAACACCACATATACACGGTGCCAAATCCCAGAAGAGTGCTTTCTTCATAGTCACCGCCGTGAAAGCCTCAAATCTTACATATTCACTTGTTGATTCACAAACAAGATAAGCCTTTATACCGTACTTATCAGGTTTATAAGGCATATATGCTCGGAAGGTAAGACGTCCTTTCCAAGCGATCGTTCCTTCATCTATTGCAATTTCCTTTTCAGGGATATATGTGTTTCTAAATTTCCCCACTAATGAGTCTATAATTGGCCTAACTTTATACAGGCGATCTTCACAGTCAGCTGGTCATGCATCGTCAGCAAAGTGAAGAAATTTTGAAATCTGTTGGAACCGCCACAAAGACATCTTTTGTCCATACCATGGAGTGTGAAATAGGGGCCTAGTTGACTAATATTCTTCAGTTTCAGGGCGTTTGTCGATTCGTGTCATGAACACAATTCCTAAGTATGTCCAGATTTCATCTGGTGTGACATATTTGTAATTGTGTTCTTGAGAGTGAGGAGCTAACTCGTGTGTTGAAGTGCTGGTGAGCATAGCGATTGGTTTCAGTTACGATGTGATTTACTAAGTCGTCATCCAGAAAATTTTAATCCATGAAAAGGGGTGCATCTTATGTGTTATATCAGTTTTGATCCCGGAACTACTAGTAAATGGAACTATTGTTGGTACAATGTCTCCGTACGTTCATGAGATGGGCGTGTCAGGCACCGCACTCGTGGTAGGTAAATGTTCATGATTACTGTCTTGTGGATCATTGTCTATCACTGTATTATTGTCACTATCAGCTTCATCTAATTCAGCAGTCATTATTTCATCGCCACTTTCATCATCAGTACAAATCTCGTTCACACTTCCAGCTGGTCCGTAGGAACACTCCGACACTTGCTGCGAGAAGCCATGGTGAAACTGAATGAATATGAAATATTGTCTGACCTTTTCCTTGTGGGAGGGTTCTGACAGTAATATAGACCCCCACAAAGTTAACAAGGGTTCTTTACAACCATGCACAAAACTATCATATGTCTTTGGTTGATGAGTGCCAAGAGAGCAAAGAAGGGAAGAGATTATCAAAGCACTAAAACACGCCAACGCCCAAGAACGGCTGGTATCGTCCGGGTGTAAAAACGCGCCCGCGCCAGTTAAAGAGCTAACACGATCTTTGTTTCTGATACCTCCTCCAACCATATTATATTTTGCATCCTAATTGTAATCATTTTCTAAATATTCTAAATATAATGACTACACAACAGGTTTGGGTTGGAAAAGTATTCCTTTTGCACTAGTTCTTCTAATGTACAAGTGATTACAAATATTCCTTCTGTTGGCTGCTTGGCACCCTGAGCTTGGTAACTCAGTGATTTCTTGTCACAATTATAGTCCCTTGTTGCACTGAGGTAATTGGTAACTAAGAGCAGGCTTGGGCAGGAGAACCAGAACAAAGACTAGCCTAGTGTATTTCTTTATATAGACTTGTTGCAGACAGCATAGGCAACATTGTTCCCAACAGTACCTTGACTGTGTTTTGTCTCGTATATAGGAGACTATGTGATATTTCTGTGATTCCAACATTCCTCAGTCTGTGAGTTTTAGACATCCCAACACAGTATTAATAAATCATCACTGGCAAAACAGATTTGCATATTTCATTGCAGATTATGTCATCCTGTTTTTACATCTTTGGATTTCTCAATTGTAATTTTTTTTTACATAGCAAGGTTATCAGCCTTGCAACCAAACCCCAAGCTGGAGGACCAGGTCTTTGTATTTATGTCTCCTAGTGTCACTGTGGTCCAGTTATATCCCCAGTCATCAGGTTCCCTTTCTGTTGCCTTCTGCGACTTGCAAGGCTATGGTGGAGGTATTCCATTTGCCTTAACATGGGAAGTATTGGTAATCACTGGTACAGAATGACTGTTTAATCTTTAAAGCAGTTTTATATATTCTGACTTTACTGTCATCAATGTTCCTTTCCTTATATGTTGACAAAACATATCTGTTCTCCTTCTAATCTCTGGTATGAGTGTAACTTCAGTTACAGATTCCTGGAAAGAAAGTACTGTAACTAACTGACTGACCAACTGACCAACTGGCCAGGTGATCTACTGATTGGTCTTCCAACCTGCTGACTGACCAACTGACTGCCCCACTGACCAATCACTCTGTTGTGAACAAGACCTCAAGCAGTATTCTTACTACGTCACTTTATTACTATCTCACATAACTAGAACACAAATATTGAACAAGTCGTTTCACAGTCACTCATTTAGTGCTACCACTCTCACTAGAATGTAGAACTGTACGTCTCTCTGTCTGGGCTAACCACTCTCTTCTGTCAGTGCACACTACGCACTCACAGTACACTGGCTCGTCACACACACTGTACACAAACACTTCTATCAGTCTTCAGTTTCTGTCTGCCCACACAGGCTTTTGTTTGTACGCTGGTTGGTGAATGCGTATCATGTCATGCTGAGTCAACGGTTCTGAACACACTCAGTCAGTGACTACTCACACACTCACCCCATGGAGCATAGTTCTTCTTGAGAAAGAGCTGGTGTTTGCTAAGTTGGTCAATGTCCCCACCTTTTATGGAAGTCTGAGCTTTAGTATTGCATGTGCAGAAGGCTACCACTGGATTGAATCCTGGACAAGATGAATCCAGTACTCACCTTAAGATTTTCATATTGTCCTTCCAACTGTGGCAGGATTTCCAACGTGACATGATGAAAATAAACTCCTTTCTTAGCAGTGCACCATTTAACCCCATACTGAGCCAGTTCAGTCCACTTCATATCTTACACCTTATTTTTAGCCTTCTTTCCCTATGTTTAAAAAAAGGATGCTTATGAGATCATCTGTCTGTCTGTGTATCCCCACCTAATTTTTGTTAGGGAGCTGATGGGATCACCTTGCTGTGTGTCTCTGTATCCCTCCTAATGTTTTTGTTTTCTTTGTGGTCCGTGTAATATCAAAGGAAAGTAGGCTATTTGTTCTTCCCAGAACTTCTTGTTATAAAATCCAATCCAGTTTGACTTATCTATCTACGTTTAGATCTTCCATTTGAGCTCCTCCCTTGAAATATTACAACCAAAGTTCTGTGTCTGTCCTCCCTCAGGTGCGCTGTATGTTTCTCCCAGCTTATACATCCTGATTAAATTGCCCTTAAAATGTTGTGTGACAAATGCACGTTTTCAAGCATTGTACTTATGGTTATGTAACTTTCTGTGCTGGTGAAGAGACCTGTTGAAATTAAGTGAGGAATCATTTTGTGATAAAGCATAGTCTTATACTGTTGTACATTTTCTGTGTGTATGTGTGCGCGTGTGCACATGTGCATGCATGCACGTCACCAGGCAGTTTGGCACACTTTCACGCTTGAAGCTTGTCATTGGGAGGCTCCTGGTTTGAATCTCTTCTGAGGTACTGATAGTCCCAACTTTTGTTATGGCTTTTCTAAGTCCTTTCCTCAGAGATTAATGCCATGATACTTTCTTGAAATAGGCTGCAACTTCCTCCCTTGAAATCCTTACCTGCTCATATTTACGAGGGTCATACTGAAAGTCATGAGCAACATTTTTTGTAAAGTAACATGCTTTATTATTGACAAACCAAATACACCACCTCAATCTACAGACCTTTCTTTATTTTTCCACATAATCGCCACTTCTTTGTACACATTTCTCCCAGCGTTCTGGGAGTTTGAAAATTTCCCTTCTGTAAAATTCTGTTCCAGCCATCCGAAGACACTGACGCACTGCTTTCTGAATTGCCTCCCTTGTCTCAAATCGTTGTCCATGCAGCTGATCCTTCACAAATCTGAAAAGATGGTAGTCGGATGGTGCCAGATCAGTGCTATAGGAAGGCTGTGAGAGAACTTCCCACCTGATCTTTGCAATTGCTTCCAATGTGAGGTGAGCAGCGTGGGGGCGAGCGTTGGCATGTAGGATGATGATGTTTCATCCCAGACGTTTATCGCACAATTCACAATGGAGCTTGTGCAGTGTCTGGACATAATGAGCAGCATTGATGGTTTGCCCAGGTTGCAGGAATTCTGCCTGAATAAACCCCTCTGCATCCCAGAAGACTGTGCCGATCACCTTCACTGCTGATGGCACTGTCTTTGCCTTCTTTTTTGATGGAGAATGCAAATGCCGTTTCGTTTCAGGCTCGAAATGGTGAAACCAGCTTTCATCACCTGTCACAGTACAGAGCAAAAAATCATCGCCTTTGTATCGCTATCTCTGCGGCAGTTCTGAGGTGATGGCTTTTCGCTGACGTTTGTGGTCTTCGGTCAGTAACCGCGGGACCCAACGAGCACAAACTTTCCTATAGCCCAAGCTTTCAGTCACCTCCTGTACTGCACTGAGCCCTATTCCAAGTTTTCAGGCTATTGTGTCCACAGTCACATGCCTGTCATCTTGAATGATCTCATCCACTCTTTCCTTGTTGTGTACAGTTGAGGCTGTTCGAGGACGACCCCTCCGAGGCTCATCTTCGATGCTGGTGTTCCCATCTTTAAAATGTTTCACCCATCTTCAAACACTGCTCGCACGCATGCACACACTTCCATAAGCATGCTGAAGTCTCTGGTGAATTTCTGCAGCAGGGATTTCCTCTTTCACAAGAAATTCGATGACAGCACGCTGGCGAAACGACATCGTTTTTGGCCATTTTGTTAGGAGTGATACTGGTCATGTGATGCAAGCTATTGATGTCATAAGACACTCAAGGTTAACACAACAGCTGGTTCCACCTACCACTGTACTCTCTTTCGTCTGCTGTTCCCAGGTTCCATGCAAAAAAAAGTTGTTCGTGACTTTTGGTACGACCTACGTACATTCATCTTCCTACATCACATTAGGTGAAACAGCATATTATATAACAACATAATCAATCAGTGCATCCTTTCAGGCTTACTTTGTATCTCTCTTCCACATTATATCTTTGTAATTGATACAGTCTAACATGCAGCATGTGTTTGTATATATGACAGCTGAAAGATCCAGACAATCTGCCGAAGCCATTGGACCTCAATTTCTTCAAGTACAATGCATCTGTTGCACGGTCCCAATCCTTTATCAATCTACGTGAGGTTAGCTGCCGGTTCAAATTGCCACCTGGAGTGTATTGCATTGTTCCTTCCACATTTGAGCCGAATGAAGAGGGAGAGTTCATTCTACGTGTCTTCTCTGAACACAAGAACCACATGGAGTGAGTACATGACTATCTTACACAGACTTCCTTCAGCCATTATTATGATGAAACCCATAGATTAATCATTTTTTTTCCTTGGCACTACAGCCCCAGTGGCCCTAGGCCTACCTCCATGAACTTCTCCATTCACTTCAGTTTTTCCAGATCGTACACAAACTAAACATCCATGCCCTGAGTGGGACTCGAACCCACAATCCTGGTTTCCAAGCAAGCGAAGACAGTACATACCTTAGACCGCTCAGCTACTGTGATCAGCCAGATTCATCATTACAATTATAAATTCAAACAAGGGACCCCATTCTGAGTCACTTTGATCCAGTTAACATTTTCAGAACTTGTACCTTTAATAAATGTTAATATTATCTCTCCATATACACTATGTACTTGTCTCCCAGATGGCATGCTCATGATTTTTTGCAGAAACTTTTGTGTGTTTCCATGTATACTATGTGTCCTGCCCATTTGAACTAGTCATGATATGTTCCATGATGCATATTTATGATGGCAGTGATGAACACAGGGTTCATTAAAAGCAACTAATTTCTTCAGCAGCTGCATAACTTAAATTATAACTATGAACATCTCCAAGAAAATCCTTTTACTATGAATATGGTTAATTGTTTTTTCCTTACTAAGTTTTCCACATCATGTATCTCTCCCAGTTATGCTGCAAATGAGAAACTCTTATAATATTCTGGTTTGTGACACCCTCAAATATTGGAAGAACCTTCCAACATTCTGGGCCAATCTGCTGCCCCTGTATTCAATTTTGCTATGAAGGTGGGAGCAGTTGGTTTTTCTGAAACCTCATAGGGTTCTTGTAATACTACACAAGCTAGAAAATTATATGTACTGTGTCAATTGCTGTGGAAGTCTCAAATTTTATATTAAAGTGTTGCTGATATTTTTACTGCAGCCTTAGTTACTGTGTTTGTAGTTGTGACAGTTTGATATGATTTTTGTCTCTTTGCAGAGAGAACGATGAGGAGGTTGGTCTGGGGAAAGTTGATGATAGAGTGAGTATGATAATGATTCATCTGCATGTGGCACATTTGCCATGGCCATGTATGTAAAGACTTGACCCTATATGCTCAAATATGCAAAATCAATTAAACTTAAACTTACTAAGTAGTAGTTTGGAATGAATGATTGATTAATTGATGGGATTAAAGTTAAATTTACTTAAACTGCAAACATATGTACAACTAAAACGCAATTGAAAGAACTAAAGAACAAAATAAACTGACCTGGATGTGATAGTGGTTGTCTTCCTTTCTGGATGTACTGTAATTGTTAACACTGGTCCTCCAGTGATAGCTCTTTCTAACAGGCCCAACTGAGTAGGTCTATCCTTCCCCACTCACCTGAAGACGGAGACAGATTCAGTCTCCGAAACATTGTGGTTTTTTGTCTTATATATATCAGACAATGGATAGAGTCCAAAATAAGCCTAATAGTTCTGTACAGCATATGCCACCATCAGAATCCTTTCCAGTCTATTCGTAATAGTGCTGCAAGCTGGAAGGTCACGGGTTCAAATCCTGATGAGGTCTCTGGATTTTTTCGATTGACCTAATCCTTCCAGGCCCACTATGGCCCTGTGGTTGACTCAGCCTCTAACAGAAGTGAGTACCAGGAATTAATTAAATAATTTTCCTGGGGAGTAAAGCATGGCTGGCGCATAAGGCTGACAACCTTACCACCATCTTTGAGCTGATTGTCTAGATAATGTGGGACCCTCAACGTCTCACAACCTTGTGGGCCTTCACGGCCTGTTACAGGGATAGCTTTACTTTTTACTTTAAGTTCCCATGACTTGGTTACTAGAGCGTAGTTTTTGAGACAGGGGTGCACCACATAAATGTGAAGAAATGTAAAAGACATATGAGAGAGATGCAACTTACCCAGTTTTTAAAACCAGGGAAGATGAAATAATATTCTTTGTCATGGGTTCCTGCATGACAAGAGGGATGTAAATCGAATAACCACTCACTCTGGTCATGGTTCTCAACCTGTGCTTGCAGGAAAATTTAAATATTGAAATTCTCAGATGAAGGCAAACAACAAATTCATACAAAATATTGGTTGAAAATCCTCAGAGAAGGATCTGCTGGCAGGACTAATATCTAAATGGGTTTTAGAGCAGTGTTTTATTGGACACAGGATGATGAATGTTATCAACATAGACTTGACAGAATTGTCTCTGTAGGAAGCTGTGGAAAACATCACTATCGTGAAGATAAAACTAATCATTTTGGGTTACAGATTAGTAGAGATTTTATTTCATAACATATTTTATTTTTTATATACTTAATGGAAGTGACTGTCTGAAAAGAGTTTCAACTTATTAGCTCTTTGACTGGCGCGAAGGGTATTTAAATCCCACCCCTGTCCTGGCAGGCCCTTTAAACCTTATGTCGCTAAAATGCATGTTGTTACTTTTTCCTAAACAACTTCAACAAAAATTGGTTTTTAAAAACGAAATTTTTAGGAACTAATTAAAATACCATATTTTATGCAATAAATGCTTTTCCACACCTCTTTATTTGTTTTTCTTCGTGTGATAAACATTGAAACATGAAAGTTTGCAGAGAGCCACACCACAGCCTGCACACATGATACTTGTTTCTTTTCTAACCTTGTGATTAGCACTCACGCGACACTTTCTCAGGGCACCATTCTTCTTATTGTTACTGTTA